TTGTGGCAGATGTAGTTAGGTTAAAATGTAACACTGTGTTGTTTGATGTTCCTTTTGACGCATTTTACAGTGTATAAGGTTTTCAGAGACTTCTTCCTTCGAAGTGGGGAGCCAAGTTCTTCCTCATCGTCTGTTTTCAGTCTGGAATCTCTGCTGAAACCTGTTCACTCCGGGTGACGCTGCTGGCATTTGAAATACCAGTGCCATGGCTTCCAGCATCACAGCAACCCACAAGCTACCCCAGTATGACAAACTGACAGACAAGGTTGAAGTTGTCAAGGATTTTGTCTTGTTTGGAGGCAGCAGTCAAGAGGTCAAAAGAGGGAGGAGACGAGCCGGGCAGGGTGCAGTATAGCACTGATGAAACATATAACTTTCCTCTAGTTCTCTAATACTCCCCCACCTCCCACTCGCATGATCCCAATTCTACCTTACAAATCTAGCTAGACCAGAGGATGTACACTGGTACAGCTAAGAGCTGGAAACACAGGGAATCCAGGATGGATAAATCCCTCAGGACCAATAATGAGATTAGCGATACCAGGAGGGCAGGGGGGAGGTGGGGGAGAAAGGGGGAACCGATCATAATAATCTACATATAACCCCCTTCCTGGGAGACAGACAACAGAAAGGTGGGTGAAGATAGACATTGGTCAGGGCAAGACATGACAAAATAATAATAATTTATAAATTATCAAGGGTTTGTGAGGGAGGAGGCCCATGGAGGGAGGGGAAAACTGAGGAGCTGATACCAAGGGCTCAAGTAGAAAGAAAATGTTTTGAAAAGGATGATGGCAACAAACATGCAAATGTGCTTGACCCAGTGGATGGATGGATGGATTGTGATAAGAGTTGCACGAGCCCCAATAAAATGATTTTTAAAAAAGAGGTCAAAAGAGGCATTGCCTTGGGTAAATATGCTGCACAAGACCTCTTCAGAGAATCGAGGAGCAAGGATGTCACTCTGAAGACTGTGGTGTCCCTGACCCAAGCCATGGTCTTCTCCATTGCATCATATGCATGTGAAAGTTGGACACCGAATAAGGAAGAATGTAGAGGAACAGCTGCGTTTGAATTGTGGTGCTGGAGAAGAATATCGAAAGTACCAGGGACTTCTATAAGGGCAAACCGATCTGTCTTGGAAGAAGTACGACCAGCACGCTCCTTAAAGGCAAGGATGGTGAGACTTCATCTTAGATACGTTGGGCATGTTGTCAGGAGAGACCAGTCCCTGGAGAAGGGCATCATGCTTGGTAAAGTGGAGGGGCCGTGACAAGAGGCAGGCCCTTGATGAGATGGCGTGGCACAGTGGCGGCAA